CAAGCAATGTCAGAAAAATATGTAAGTATATATATATATATATATATATGTTAATTATGCTTTATTCAGAAATATCGTTTTTAATTATGGTAAAGGATGTGTCCTGATGATGACCTTTACTTTTTCCCAATAACAGTTTTTCTATTTTATAATATTTCATTATTATTTTTTGTGTTTATGCATATGTACATAAAAAATTCACTGTATTTATTTATAGATTAGCAATTTAAAAACACTTCTCTGAAATCCATAAAAAAACAGTAAACAGATATCTTTCATAGTTGAGTAACTCTAAGCATTTTTAAGAATTTTAATAAAGTAGAGTTAATGAACCAGGAAAAACAATTGCTTTATACTATTAAAATAATAAATCTAAGGGAAAATACTATTTTTTAGTAACTACTAGAAACAGAGAAAAATGAAGAAACTTAATGAGTTTGTTTTTGTTATTAGTAGTATTGCCACGAAAGATGTATTCTAGGAAGAAAACTGAAATCAATGAACTGTATCTATAAAAATAAACATTGGTGAGAATATCTTTAATTATTCTCTTTTTACTAAATTAACTCTGGGAACTACTTTGTTCCAAGCTGTAATTATATAAACATTTGCCAGATGGGAATGGTAAATTCTCTTGAGACTTTTTATCGATTAAAAAATATCAGAAAATGAGAAATTTTGAAAACCCAATCAATGATAGAAAAATATTGAAAAATAATATATAATTCTTAATATTTAAAAATCACACTCATTGGCTAATGAATTAGAAACTTGGGATGTTTTATCTTGTCTTGTTCGCATATGTATATAGAAAAAAAGAAAATAAAACGAAGATATAATATATATAACAAGAAAAGAGAGAGAAACGAAAAAAATGAATAAGTTTTATTAACTGCGCATAAGCTACAAGTATATAGAACTCATAAAATAAGTTAAAATATTGAGAAAATACGGAAAATGATAAAAAAAAAATAATGACAAAATAATTTTCTTCTCTTAAATATTTTTCAAAGTAAAAAATTTTAAGGTAAATTATTTTTCAATTCTTTTAAAAATACATTTGAAAAATATCTTAATAATTTTCTTCTCTTGTCATTATTTTTTATTATTTTCCATTTTTCCTTAATATTTTTAAATTAAAAATCAGTGAAAGGAAAGATTAGAGGATGAAACGCCCCTCCCGTAAACGCACCAATTTCTTATAAACAGAAAACTCTGAAATGAAAACTTTCAACCAAAAACATTGAAAAAAAAACCCGCCTTCATATCCCAGTTGGCAAAACAGCTATATAGCTATCGCAAAAAAAACATTCTTTGTGAACATTCGGGGATACATTGACATCGGAAACAGTATTTCATTAGTCACGTGATCTGAAATGCATCTGAATAAAAAAAACAGCAACAAAGAAGGGAGAAGGAAAAGGCTTAAAAGATAATAAAAAAAGAAAAAGTAAGAGCATGAGCACAACAAAGAAACTTTGTTGATAGCATCAAAATCTCACCTGCATCGAAGTGCAACAAAAATGCGCTTCAAGCTAGCGAAAGACGAAATCAGGGTCAGCGAACAGACATATTAAAAATGGAAATCTTTTTCAGTTTATGACAGTGAAACAACCGATGCGTGATGCTTTGTTTTTAAAAGCGAAACCTAGCGGCACTGGAATAGTAGGTAAAAGCGCTAATATTATCTGTTAAAAAGGAAAATGAGTTAAGTCGGTAACGCACGCATTTAACTTTTCATAATTCTTTTATCAGGTAATAGAACCGATTGCGTAACCGAAGAACGTGAATTATGGGACACAATTCGGAAGATGTTTACTAATATAAGCTGTTAATAAACAACATTCCATATCGTTTGGTTTTATTGATATATTTTTTTTAAATCTATCATCAATAAAAAAATAAACGACTATGTTAATTACTAAAATGTTTATCGTTTCGTTTTTTTACGGTTTTAATCAATAATAATTTGATAAAGCGAAGAAAATAACGCTTTATCAATAATAATTTGATAAAGCGTTCCGGTTAAAAGAGAAATTATTCAATGGTTTTTATTTTTTCAATATTATAATATTATTGTGAATACTTTTTTATTCAATTAATTAAAATGAAATTCGTATAATAGAACGAAGTTTCAAAAACGATAAAGATTCAAGTACTTAGCACTATTTGAAATTCGTTGCTTTGATATACTATATACTTGTATACTTGTAGATTCATATTCAGCAAAATCATAAGAGAAAACAATAAAAACCATCCACGTAAATCAGATGCAGTCTTACTTTATTCAAATTTAGTCTGCCTCTAGAACCATCTGTAAAAGAGAACAAAAAATAAAACTCTCTCTATCTCTCCCTCTCTCTTTCTTTTTTATTTCATTTTTTAGTTTATTTATTTTTGATAATTATGTCAAAATTTCTTTGATAAAAGCAACAAAAAGCAATTTTTTGCTGTATGAAATCAAAACTGCTAAAAACAAATGTTACTAAAAAAATGCACTACAATACTGCCGTGCAATTAAAAAAAACAACTAGAGGTGCTTAACGATGGATTTTGAATATAGTGGTTTGACAACTATTTTCTTACTTTTCATAATGCTATGAAGGCTATAAAAGAATTTCAAAAAATTTATAAAACAAAATTTATTTGAGTTTCGCAATAGGTGGCTTATCATACAAATATACCAAATTCATACAAATTTCAATTTTGTGTTTTTTGTCGCATACGTTGATTTTTCAATTGCACGGCAGAATATTCTTTCGTTTATTTAATTGCTAAATAAATAGTCTGTGATAGAATTGCAATAAAAAGTCAGAGTTAATTTTGAAATTAAAATTTATTTTTAAAAAAATATTAACGCCCGGAAAGCAAATTCAGTAACTGAAAAAAAAAACAGTTGATTCAAAAACTCATAATATACCTCTGAATTAGATTAATGTTCCAATTAGACATTTCAGAAGTGTGATTTAGAAACCACGCTTATAGAGTTTACAATTAAGCGTCGAAAAACAATCATCCAATCGCGTGATTCCAAAATCACGTGTATACGCTAAGTGATGCGTATGCACATCATGTGGCGAATGAGGCTAAGCAGTGTTAATTTTTTAAAATTGTTAATCTGTTCTTCAGTGGCTCTGCTGTCATATAAAATAATTATTTTCAGCAAATAATATGTTATTCTTATAACTGATCATTACTATTATATTTCCTTTATAATTTTTATGACTGTTATTCTGCAACAGTTATTTATGATTACTAAATTAGGTTTTCCCATTTATAGTCAGTGTTCTCTATCCTTGTTATGAAAAAATGAGCAAAATGTCAATGACAAGAAAAGCCACAGTTTTGTAAAAATGAAAAGCGCATGCCATCTAATTTCATAATTATTTGGAAAGTTACTCCAATGTTATATTGAGTTTATGAAAGTTACTAACTTGCACCAATTGAGACCACCGGGGAGCAAATTTTTTGTTGCATTTATGTAAATACTTGATGGTGCTTAATGCTGGTGTGAGGATTTCAAATCTTAAATTAGTTTTGCTTCTAAAGCTACAGATTTTTTAAATGACATTTTTAATCCATTTTTTGTTGAAATGAACAAGTTTAAAAACGTTGCATATAACAAGGGGTGGGGCAATTAAATGTTGTGCTAACCTTCTAGGGGAATTAGGGGACTAAATAATTAAATTCATCAGGATTAAAATGGCATAGAAATGTCATCGTACGCGGCTAGGAGAGCTTCCCCTTTAATGATCTGTTTTGAAGAAAACGAAAAATTGTTTCATAATAAAGAGCCTCTAACGGCGTAGGATGACATTTCCGGGCAGGGGTTTCAAAGCAATTTTAATCCTGGTGATTTGCTCCAACTCAACTAGAAAGTATGGTTTGCAACAATGTGACCCTCTGCTATAAATAACATTTTTAAACTTGTACGTTTCGACAAAAAATGGACTAAAGATTTCATTTAAAGAAAATATTTTGCTTGTTAAAGCTTGGCGAGAGAAACGGATTGCAGATTTGAAATCACCGATACACAAGTATCTAAAATCTCTTAAAAAATCTCATGCAACAGAAATTTTTTTCCCCCATTTATTGATTTCATTGATTTTATTCAGTGCTTCAAGGTTTGTTTGGAGTTGATGGTTATGAAACCGTGATTTTTTGTCATTTAAATTTTCTGACGATAGATATATGTCAACCCTATGTCATTCAGCAGACCTATTTTTTTTCAGATACTCTTAATCCTTTTATGTAAAAAATACAAATGTAAAAATATCTGTTCAAAGAAATGTACCTCAAATATATTTTTTAAATAATAAGAATACTTCATTACTCGATTCTTTCATATTCGGTCTAACGAGAATAACAAAACGATAAGCATCCGAAAAACTTCACGATACCTTGTAGCGTAGAAGATGATCTTTCGCCCGAGAAGAAATTTAATTAACTTTTTTATTTACTGCATCTTTTATAAAGAAAACCCCATCCTAATCGTCTTTAATCTAAATTAGCACTGAATTAATTTAAGATACAACAGTAGGAAAAGAAGTTCACAAAAAAATTCTTAGTTACTTTTTAAAGCATTCCTGTTACGGCACGCTATTTTTGAAATCCTTTTAAATAATTTTTATGTAATGAATTGGTTCAAAACGGATGCATAAGTTATATGAGTTGATCTAACGAACACAATGCAAACTCTATCTTTCATTCTTTGTATCAAAAAAAGGAGAACATGGGGTATTTTTCTTAATATTGTTTCATACTGAAGAGTTTAAAGTACAAAAAATCATTCAAAAGACGCATGAATTTATTGATTATAAAAATATTGTTTACTTATTGGCTATAAAGAAATATAATTATATGAATATTAAACTAATTACATTAATTTTTCAAGACCAGAAAAGGTAACGAAATCTAATTAAAGTTTTAATTACCTGCGACTTCGTAAAGCGCCACTCATTGAAAAATCATAAATCTATATTTTTTTAGAGTTATGAAAATTCTCTATGAATGTCTTGAAAATTAATTTATTAATCATTCATCATTCATTTTTTTAACCATTTAGATGCATTCCAAATCATTTTGGTTTTATTTTTATCCGAAAATTTTATGTACAATATATATTCCTACCCTGGGAAAAAAAATGGTCAAAACTACAAGAATATGGTAAAGTTCGCTGTGTTTCTGACCCTAGAGGAACATTAAAATTTTTTATCAAAGCACTTTAGTAATGATTTTAGTTAAATTGGCAATAAAATATGGTTTTATAACATATAATAAAATTTGGTAAATGTGAAAAATTTGGTAATTTTGTCAGGATTCTTTAGAGAATATCATAAAAACCATTTATTCTGATAGATTTAATTTTCAGTTTTGTATTTCTTATTAAATGTGTGGTTTAGTGCTATAATTTTAAAAACCAGAATTTCCGGTAAACTGTTAATGTGAACGTAAAAGTTACCAAATGAATGGTTTAAATACCGTCCATTTTGGGTTTTATTACCAGAAATGCCATAACCATAGAGTGCGGGAATATTACCAGAATTTTTTTTTTCATGAACAGACGGCGATGTTTCCACTTTCAAGAATTTAACTAAATACGCGTTTTACAATTTGTGAAAAATTTTTCTACAAAATTCATAATTCAAACTACAAAAATTTCGATTATTATTTAGAATCATGTAGTTTTTAAAATAAAGGTTGTTTCTTTTATTGGTTACCTTTGCTTTACAAATAACAAAATTTAACTTTTCTTTTGAATATTGGAGAAGAATTGATAATGTACCTACTTTTAAACTCTCAGATGTTCCTTAATAGTGTTTAGTAGTAACAAAACACTCAATGAAAATAAAAAATTTAAATCAGTAATCGCTTCTTGAGTAGTCTTGTCTGGAAGTAAAATGGTAGTTTCATTGGTTAATGATTTTTCGTTCGCGCTTGAATTGTTTAACCAGTAAAAGAGCGTTTCAAGAAGTACCAATTTGATACATAACTCTTCAATTATGCTGTTTCATTTATTACCAAGTAGTTACACTAACTTATTTCAATTTCCATTTTAACTTATAACAATTTCCATCATTACCAGAAGCATTATTATTCAATTTCATCAGAAATTTTCCGAAAATATTCGTTCATATTGTTTTGTACGTTTCTAAAAGAATAACTTGCATATGCATACACTGAGTGGCCACTTTATTATAACCGCCTGAAAGTTTTATTGAAATTAAATTTATCCTCACAGCATTCCCGCCGATGGACCAGCGTAGTATTATAAAAACAAGACATGTTTCCAGACCTGATTTGAGATCTAATAAATAACATGTAACGTATAGGTATGATGTCTGAATAAGACATAATATCCAAACATCGTTTTTGAGCACTATAGATCAAGATGCCGAAGTGTAGTTTCAACAAGGATTATGCATTCTGCCAATCGATGTATAATATTGGCTATACAAGGATTATATATGCATTGTAAACGAATGATTTGAGAGTTCATTTTGTTTTATTGGCCTGCACAATCCCCAAATTTTAATCTTGTTTTGCATTTATAAATGCAGTTGGAAAAGCACTTTGATATCTAAGTCCAAAGCAATTTCACTACTCTCAAGACTCTTACAACTTGAAAGTTCTATTCAAATACCACAAACAACTTAATGAACGTCGTGTAGAGTCCATATCAATTACCAAGCCTGTCTTTAAAAAATTGCCAAAATGGAAGAGAGGTCAAGAAA